AATAAGAAATTTATGCCAGATTTATCCTTTGTACTACATGCCAAGTAGTATTAGCAAAGGAATAACAAAGTACTACAAAGTAATTAACAAAATAGCTTTCAGGGAGTGTAGTTTATGGGCAAATGAGCATTATCTATTCGGCATTTTACTCTCAAACATATAATTTATGATAAATTTATAAATGTTTGTAAGTAAAATTCAAAAAGTGTTACACTGATTTCTTACAAAACGAAAACTGACAGGTTATCTTTTCAACATAAATTAAATTTTTTTAAAAAAAGAAATGGCCCATAAAGTACCAACTCTTTGTGGGTTTCCTCCATTACATGAACAAATATTCTGCTCTTTATGGGCATTTCACTCTGAATCATTTAATTTATGTTAAATACATAAATGTTTGTAAGTAAAATTCAAAAAGTGTTGCACTAATATTTTTATGAAAGGGAAACTGGTAGGTTTTGTATTTAACATAAATTAAATATGTGAAAGCAAAAAAAAAAAAAGAAATTACCCATAAATCTATGTCTTGCAAATCTATACTAGTAAAATAGTTTCAAACAAAATTAAACATTAAAATAAACTGTAATTTATACACATTAAAATATCTGTAATTTATACACATTTTGCAACTACTACTTTGTGTTTTCTCTGTAATGAATTTTTTAACTATTGAGAACTTAAGTTTTGTCTTGCAAATCTATACTAGTACAATAGTTTTAAACAAAATTAAACATTAAAATAAATGTTTGAAAAAGAACAAAAGTACATTTATCACTTGCAGTAATGTAACAAAATTTTCTCAACCATTATCAATATTTTCACAAAAGTATTAAAAACTAGCAATTGACAATATTAAAAACTAGCAATTTAATTAGTGACGACTTTTCTTGTCATTATAATCTTGAATAAATTAGTGATAACATTATGTCATCACTAAATTTTCTTTGATTTTGACTTAACAATAATGTCTTATTAATAGCATTTGATTATTTTTAATGAAAGTCCGTTATAACCATAGAATTTGACTTTCGTTATTTTCAATTAATGATATACTTTAGTGCTGCAATTATTAAAAATTGCAGGGCTAAAATATTTGCAAATTATAAAAGTATATTTTCACTTATATGTAATTAACAAATTTTGCCACCTATATTGATGAAAATTTGTGTTTTTGTACTAAAAAATAAAGAATAATACTATAGCAATAAAATCTATGCTTCAAACCAAATTAAAAATAAAAAAAAAAGCATGATGATTGGTCTCAAATGTTGGGAAAATGATTATTTTTATTGAAACTATGTTATAACCATATAATTTGAGTTTAATTATTTTCAATTACATGATGTTCTTTAGTGCTGCAATTATAAGAAATTAGTATAAAATATTAGCAAATTATAAAAGTACATTTTCAATTATATGAAATTAACAAATTTTACCACCTATGTTGATGAAAATTTTTATTTTTTGCTAAAAAATAAAGAATAATACTATAGCATTAAAATCTATGGTTCAAACCATATTACAAATCCAGAAAAAAACATGATTTTTGGTATCAAATGGAGGGAAAATGAGTGAAGTCAAAATTTTGATCAAATCATAGTGAAAGTGCCGCGCAACAAAAACAATATCCAAAGCAAAGTAAAGACCAAAGCAGCGGAACATATTCTGAAAACAAAAGCAAAAGAACACTTGGTCTGAGTTAAAGTAACGGAACACTTGAGCAACACAAACTTTCACCGAGCTGAAACAAACAAGCTTCTACACTGAGCACAAAACAGAGCTTCCGCACGGCACCTGATACTTTCACCCACACAACAAATCCATTCTCTGGCTTCTCACTAGCATCACCATGGCTGTCCAGCATTAAAGGGCAAGGTTTTCATTGGAAAGGTTCGTTTTTCTCTCTCCTATACATTTTCCCCAATTTTTCCAAATCCCTAATATTCTACAATATTTTTTGCAAATTTCTGCCCAAAATCTTTTAGCAGCTCTTGATTATTAGATGCTATCATAGCTATGTTGTTATTTACTTGATCATTTTCTCCAATTGCTTTATGGCCCTAATTTTGATAATAGCTTTTGGCATAACCTCTAGTTTTCTTCGTCAACCATATTATCACATCACTAAATGACTTTCTGATCTTAGCCGGTGACCACAATTTCATTTAGCTATGGTTTGTTTTTCAATTTACTTGGCCGAGAGGAACTGTGATAAGTCAATTTCAGGCTAATTGTAAAGCGCATAGCCATCAGTGGAAGCTTTAAGGACTTTCACTAACCTGGAATTGGATGTTCTCATATTTAGTTCAAAGTCACGTATTCCTTAAAAGATATGAGCAATTTGAAAACCTGTCTTTCTTGTTAGTAAACTGATTATGCTCAAAGTCCCCTTTTTCCTCAATATACTCCAGATTCTAAGTTTGTTAAAAGGAGATGCTAAATTTATCTTTAATGGATGTTAAAGAGGCTGGTGGAGAAGGTCTATGCCTTGTATTCAAGTCCTTACATATGCATGCCTTTTTTCCTTTTTGCCCCCTCTTCTCTTTTTGCGAGACTTTTCTGCTGCCAATAGAGTGGTGCACAGAAGCTAGAAGTACCTGTTCAGTGGTATGCAGTTGTCATTGTGCATTGCCCTTGCTTCTGTTTTTCATTTTTTTCCCTCCCCTATAACGTTTTCTTTGACTTTGAATCTATGTATTCTGTGCATTACTGAACACTTACAATCTACATGGTCAAAATTTGTATATGTTACGAGGTTTGATTGTACAAAAATAGAGCATATGAGTTTTGACTGCATGCTCTTGTTTTGCCGTGCAAAAAAGATTGATCTTATATGGCTCCGTAAGTATAATGGGAGTAGATTGGTCAGTATGTGAGGAACTAAAGCAAAGAATTAGATAAGGAAGAACTGGCCCTGAGTGGGAGACAGATGTTGACTCCATTTTTGTTAAATTCTCCAGATAAAAGGTAATCTGATGGTTCGAATGGTAATCTGATGAATGTAGGCAGACAGATAGTTGATTTTCATGGAGAGATGGTCCTATTGGAGAATTACAGTGCTCTTAACTACACTAGTATTTGCCTGTTGTCTATTTCTTACACCTTGTTGATGTATTTTAGAAAGCGGTGAATGAGATGGTGCTTTTTTGACAACTAAGTTCAGTGAATTATTTGGTTTTGGATGATGATATGATAAACATTGCTACTCAAGGAGGAAATCTTATTATTGCATTCCAATGTGATGATAAGTTGTTCGTCTCCTGTCTGTGTTACCCTCTGTCATTCTAAAGTATTTGGGATCCCTGCATAGGTTCAGTCTTTCTTAATAAAATTTAATTCCAATGCTATTTATATATCTGTACTGAGCACCTTTTTAAATGTTGAACTCTTAGAAGTAGCTTCTGCTGAAAAAGGGATAGCAAACAACAGTTGTTTAGCCTCATTGTTTGCTTTAGGTTGGAGTGGCAGATTAGTTTTTCTTTATTATGAGCAATCAGTACGAGATATCTATCAATCGTAATCAGAACCGAGCTCCCCACTGTTTGGTCTTCATACCGTTGGGGATCTTGTGTTCCATTTCCAGTACATTTCAAGGAACTGCAGTACATAATTAGAGCCGCTGACCCATTATAATTAGCAGAATTATTAGTGAGTACACCTTTTAAATTGATGAATTTGCCTATTGATGTGAAATGCCAATATGACTAGGTGCTACAAAAGGTAGCAAGATGTGGAAGTCCATTTAATGAAACCATTCTCAGTAATGACTTCTGAAAAAATAACAAGAATTTTTTGGTTAATTCTAGAATGTTTTAGTTCTTACATGACCAACAAAGGTGAATCTTGGTGTTTTTTAGCAATACATTACATACAACATTTCCAGAATGTATGATGCTTTTTTTTTTGGGTCAAAAGTCAACTTCATATATGTAACACAGTATCATTCAATGTCTGATGCTGGATATTGGAAAGATATGTATCAAACATTTCAAACTGAAGGAGCTACTTGTTCATCTTATTATGCCAAAAAAAAATTCTCCAGATATACTTTTCTGGTTGTATCTCAAGGTTCAGGGTGGGAAAAATGGCATTTAAAATAGAAAACAGAAGAAAGAAAACATAACTCTAGTAAGTTGACTGTGTGAGTTATTTTACATCTGAACATGTGAATAAATTTCTGCTGCGAATCAGTTTCCTAGCCTTAAATGAACCGACACATGAGATAGGTGAAAATATCTTCTAGAAATTATTATTGCTTCAATCAAACTCACATACTTTAATCTCTCGCTCTCTCTCTCTCTCTCTCTCTCTCTCTCTCTCTCTAGAATTAAATCTGAAGACTTAATTCCTACCACTAATTATACAAGACATTAGTGGCTTACCATATAATTGGGGATATTCTTGATAAACAGGGTTGGTGACAAAAGCACTGGACGTTTTCTCCCAGTTGCATTTCAGACCAGATATAAGGAGGTTCTTGTAAAGGCACATATTGCTGCATCTGGAGCGGTGCTAAGATTGCAAATAGCTCCTGTTCTTGGTAGGAAAAGGAAACCAATTGAGTGGTCTGAGTTTCAGGTACTGTTCCTTCTTACCATTATTCAGGCTTGAAATTTATATTTGTGCTTTACTCTTCTATTATTTCTGCGTTGGGCATCTTCCCTTTACAAATATATGATGTCTGATCCTATGTTTTTTGAACATGTAATGTGCTGTTAGCTAGCAAAATCAGCCTATGAAATTGATTATTCATGTTATGGCTTTATCTTTTGTTTGCCAAACTTTTGCATGTATACTGTGGCTGCAGATTCTATTTAGTTTGTTGCCTTACTAATGCATTTGTACTTGAGATGGTTGATTTTTGCTAAAAATGTGTTTTACACCTTGGATCCCATTGCTGGTATTTGAGGAGTTTAAATTTAGTTCATATTACATTGCATTTGTTTTCTATATAATGTGGTGGTCATATTCTTTATGGTAGGATAAAGGGCTATAACAATATGGATAGGAGCTGGATGTCTATTAAGAACTACCTAGACCCCAAGTATTTAGATGGAGTTGATGAATTTATTAAGTTTGCTTTTCTAGGCAATGATCCTAATTGTAAACTGCCATGTCCTTGCAAAGTATGCAATAATTTTGAGGATCAAACTAAGGAAGTCATGGCCAATCACTTGTGTCGAGGAATTGTTGATAGTTATACTAGGTGGATATATCACGGCGAAGGGTTTAAATCTGATGATGAGAATGATGACATAGAAATAAATGACAACGATAATGACTTTGACAGTATGGAGAAGCTGTTAAATGATGTAGGAGTTGGTAACTTTGGTGAGAGTTGGAGACATTCACCGGAACTTGATACGGGTGATTGTACCGAGAAAGAAGGAGAAGCAAGTAGGTTTCTCATATTATTATCGGAGGCTGAAAAATCTCTATACCCGGGCTGTGAAAAGTATTCAAAACTCTCATTTATTGTCCATATCCTCCACTTGAAAACAATGAATCGGTGGACTTGTAAATCTACTGATATGTTGCTGAAGTTCTTGCATCAAGTATTTCCTACAGCTTTGATTCCCAGTTCATATTACGAGGCAAAAAATTTCATCCGTGAGTTGGGGCTGAAGTGTGAAAAGATCCACGCCTGTGAAAATGATTGCGCACTTTTTTGGAATGAAAATAAAGGCCTTGATCATTATCCAAATGAAAAATGTAAAGCACCGCGGTATAAATCTCCAAATTCCAAAATACCTAGAAAGGTGTTGCGTTATTTTCCATTAAAACCAAGGCTGCAAAGACTGTTTGTGAACAAAGAGATTGCTCGGGATATGAGGTGGCATAAGGAGAGACGTGTAGATAATGAGAACATGATGCGACACCCTGCTGATTCATTAGCTTGGAAGGATTTTGATAGAAATCACAAGTCCTTCGCTGAAGATCCTAGAAATGTGAGGCTAGGACTTGCTAGTGATGGCTTTAATCCCTTTGGAACCATGAGCAATTCATACAGTATATGGCCTGTTACCCTTGTTCCTTACAATCTACCTCCTTGGAAATGCTTAAAAGATCCATTTTTTTTCCTATCAATGATTATTCCTGGTCCCAAAGCACCTGGAAATGACATTGACATATTCTTTAGACCACTAGTTGATGAGTTAAAAGAGTTATTTGCCACTGGTGTGGAGACATATGATGCCTTCAGGGAGGAGAAGTTCATGTTACGTGCAGCACTTTTGTGGACAATAAACGATTTTCCAGCATATGGCTATTTGTCGGGATGGAGTACAAAAGGGTACAAGGCATGTCCTGTGTGCTTAGATGAGACGACTAGTCTATATCTTAATAATGGTCACAAATGTTGTTACATGGGCCATCGCCATTTTCTGCCTATTGATCATAAATGGCGTCGAGAAAAAAAGCAATTTAATGGAGAAAGAGAACATAGACAGCCTCCTAGGACCCTATCAGGCGAGGAAGTCCTCCAACAACTTCTTCGTATTGAGCAAGTTGAGTTTGGCAAGGCACCTGATTTGCTGCAACAGAAGAAAAGAAAACGCGTGCAGAACAGTTCAAATTGGAAGAAGATGAGCATATTCTTTGAACTTCCATATTGGAGTACCAATAAAATTAGACATAATTTGGATATTATGCACATTGTCAAGAATGTATGTGAATCTTTGGTAAGTACATTAATGAATATCCCTTCGATAACTAAGGACACATGGCAGGCTAGGGAGGATTTAAAAGAAATGGGATTAAGGGAAGAGTTGCATCTACAACCGGGAGGTGGTGCATCTAAAGTTATGCCACCTGCATGTTACACTTTATCACGCCTAGAGAAAAAGAATTTCTGCCAGTTTTTGAGCACTATCAAGTTCCCGGATGGCTTTGCTTCAAACATTCCTCAGTGTGTGAAGACCAAGGAGTGTCAACTTTTAGGAATGAAGAGTCATGACTACTATGTGTTCATACAACGACTTCTTCCACTAGCAACTAGAGGAATGCTGCCAAAAGATGTATCTCAGATTTTAGTAGAGATCAGCAATTTTTTTCGAAAAATTTGTTCTCGAACTCTCTATCTAGATGAGCTGGAAATGCAGAAAAAAATATTATTTTAATACTATGCAAACTTAAGAAAAATTTTCCTCCAAATTTCTTTGATGTAATGGTCCATTTACCCACTGAATCCAAGATTGCTGGACTAGCCCAATACCGGTGGATGTTTCCATTTGAGAGGTACATGCCTCTTATTTTTAATAATGCCTATTTGATTTACCTCCAATTTTCTTATTTTCTAACAACTCGGGCTGAATTTTTTTGGATAGAAAAATGGGTCAATACAAAGGCTATGTGAATAATAGGGCACGACCTGAAGGCTGTATAGCTGAGCGCTACTTGGATGATGAATGTCTTACATTCATTTCCAGGTATTTGCATGATGTTCCGACCAGATTTAATCAAACGGAACGAAATATGGAGAAACACGAAGCTGCTGGAAAATTATCTATATTTTCTAGCTTGGCTCGGCCCTTTGGGGCAGCTCTGATTGGTTATCTAAGTGAGGTTGAATTGCAAAGAATACACCTGTTCATCTTGAAAAATTGTGAAGAAGTAGATGATTACATGAGGTAATAATATACTTTAATGCTAAATCTATGCCGTGTTCTATAATATGTTCTTCATTGCTTGTAATTAAAGTCATTTGATAGAATATGTAACTACTTCTACTACTACAAATTTAGGGAGCATAGACAAATTCTTGAAAAGCAAAATTTATCTAGCTTACAGCAAAGGCTAGACTCGGAGTTTCCAAAGTGGTTTGAAGAACGTGTAAGTATTGGAAGAGATGTTAAAAACTTGTCAATTTCCTTTACTTTTTATTTTAGTAAACTATTAAAGAATCTGGTATGGCTGATGTAGGTCATGTATACACATGCACGTGGAGAATGTACTGATGAATTGTTGTCCTTGGCTAGAGGACCTGATTTTCGAGTCAATACATTTGCTGGCTGTAATGTGAATGGATTTAGATTCCACATTAAGGCTCGGGAAAGAGAAAGAAAGACACAAAATAGTGGAGTTATGGTAAAGAGGGAGCATGCTGATAAAGAAACATACTTCTATGGTATAATTACTGATATAGTTGAGGTTGAATACTCATTTACTCAAAATCGAGTAGTTGTGTTTAAATGTGATTGGTGGGACTTGAGAAATAATTCGGGAATCAAAGTAGACAAGCAGAGCAATATCACTAGCATCAACATGTCAAAAACATGGTACTCAGACCAGCCTTTTATATTAGCATCCCAAGCTGAACAAGTTTTCTATCTTCAAGATATGAAGCTTGGAGGTAATTGGCATATTGTAGGTCGTCACTGTTTACTTTTACCGACAGGGATTTAGTGACAACTTTGTGACGATCAAAAAGTCGTCAATAAAAGGTATTTGTGACGATATTTGTATGTTCTGTGATGACTTTGTGTTGTCACTGATGAACAATTTTCTTGTAGTGAATAATGCGATTAACCATGAAAAGTCTGTTACAATCTCTGTAAATGAATTTGCTAAATTTTCTCAGTACCAAGAATCATTAAAGTCTTCATCTACTCCTGTAACTGCTATCGTTGAGTCAGGTAAACCAAACACATGCCTTGTGTCCTCATTCTCCAAATGGGTAATTGATTCTGGTGCCACAGATCATATGACAGGTAATTCTAGTGTATTTTCTACCTTTCAACCATACACATCTGCATCTACAGTTACCTTAGCTGATGGGTCAAAATCTCATGTTCTTGGATCAGGTTCAGTTAACCCCACTCCATTAATCTCATTGTCATCTGTCTTAAGTTTGCCTGAGTTGTCTTTTAATCTAATTTATGTGAGTAAACTTACTCGTACCCTTAATTGTTCTTGTGAGGACTTGCAAATCCCTTATATTTTTCTTTAAAATGCCCTTTTATTTGGAAATTATTCATTTAATATGGCCCTACTATCCAATCATCTCACAATAAGTGCAAATGAACCTAAAAAGTAGGGTTTCACTTTTCGTTTTCAAGAAAGAGCGAATTAGGGTTTTCACGTTTTTTGTAGTGTGACTATTCGGTACCCAGTGAGGCTCAAATTTGGTAGCTAAGAGTGACTTTTGAATGAGGAAATATTATATGATTAGAAGTGATAATAATAAGTTAGTGATTAGAAGGTAAAAAAACCTTAGTATACGCGATTTAAGAAAAAACGGTTGAAACCGACGGGTATCGATCACTACCACTTGACCACCACTTCCTTACCACCACATACCCTTGATATTTTTGCAAAATATCCCCCCTCATTCTCAGCCATGTGACCAAAATATGTGGCCCAAAATGCAAGGAAAAGAAAGATAAATTTGGAAGGCTTTGGTGGTGACAAGTGTCACACACCTATGGCTCTTTGACCAAACCAATTGTCTTGCCTCTTTATCTTCCATTTAGCTTCATTCTTCCTCATTTTTCTTCTGGTTTGGCCGAGACAAGAGAGAGAGAAAGAGAGAGCAAGAGAAACAACCTTCTTTCATCTTGATTTGCACCATTTCAAGATTCTAAACCGATTAACTTGTGAGTTGTGAACTTGGGAAGCTAAGGGAACCAAAAATTTCAAGAGGAGGTGAAGTATTACTCTTGCAAGTCCTTTTGTTGAGGTATAAGGTCTGACCCATGGCTTTGGTTCTTTTATTTTTGTTTAAGTTGTTATATAACTCATGTTTTGGTTAGATTAGTAGCTATACAAGTTGTTGTAATGATTTTGGAGTGATGTATGTATGCTAGGGTTTGACTGATTTCCTTCTCATACTTGTTGTATGAATGGTATATGATGTATATAAGCTTGTATAAGAGGTTGTGGTAGTAATTGAATCAAGAAAATGAAGAGATTTCCCTTGAAATCCCAAAATTCCAGATTTCTGGAAATCTAGGACTCAGTTCTGCCTGTTTTTGTTGGACTAGGTTAGAGGCTGAATTGGCCTTAGAATAAAACATGAAAGTTGTAGAGAATGATGTTTTATAGTTACCTGTAAAAATTCAGCTCGATCAGAGCAACGTAGCTTGTGAAAAGACTGAAATACCCCTGCTACCCTGTTTCTATCCGAACATGCTAATCAGCTTCCGTAATTGGTTGTTTTGACCAGGAATACTACTGATTTGGTTGTCGATGTCTTCTTAAGACTTATAGCCTTGTATCTTAGCTTTCAAATGGCTTTAGAATCACTTGAATTGGAGTTGTATATGCTGAGATATGACTGAATGAATCAGAACTGCCACAGTAAACTTCAAATTGGAAAATCTGGGGTTATTTTGGTAAATTTGACCTAGATATATTGTAAACTGGATTGAGTAGTTTTCATCAAAGTTGTAGCCCTTTCTCTTAGCTTCGAAACGGTGTACATCGTACCTTAATCCGACTAGTGTCGCTTCAGTTGTGTTAGTTTCGCTAAGCAACAGCAAATCTGCCTTTTGTTTTCCAACCTAAACGTCATTTCTGCACATGTCCTAGTTTGATTTGGTAATCATATGACATTGAGCCTATTGAGTGGCTATTTATGTTGTGTGTGACTTTGGAATTGATTGAGGAAAACAATGAATCCATAAATGGTTGGAAAAAATAGGTAAATACAAAGGGCGTACTGCCCAAATTTTCGCTTGAGAGCTAAGTTTCTATTTGAATTTGTATATTTTCGTTTGGCAAATACTATGACCATTTTTCCATCTTAAAACATGATCCTTTTTCAATTGAAAACTCCAACTGTTTACTTACTCTTACCAAATAAAGAGGAGTGGTTTAGGGTTTTCTTGGGTATTTTTGTCCTCCCTTTTTCATGAATTTCATTAAGACATTTAGTCTATAATATCTACTTAAATATGAGATGATTTTGAACCATATAAACGATTCCGAAAACAATATTTCTTAGCCTATCTAGTTGAATTCCGACTTGTCTTTAGTTCAAGTGTTTCCATTAGAAAATTTTATAACCCTTTTGAGTTTGGTTCTACGTTTGGTCTATGAAACCCTAGTTATTTTTGTCCATGGGTCCAAATGTTCTCGTTTCACTTTAAAGTCTTTTTATACGTTCTACTCATCATTTGTCGAGTTTCTTTGATTTCACGTAATTGTTTGTGCTAGATGAGTTGTAATATTCTTTTTCGTTTAATCTTAGATTTTCTCGGTGACTAAAGATAATATCCGGAAGGATATTTTGCACGTTGTTTTGCATACATAGGTGAGTGTTCCTTGTTTGTTATATTCTCCTTGACTTCATGACTTGTTGTTGTTGTTTGATAATGTGTTAAGTGTTTCCAATGATTTCCAAAATGAATTTTCTAGGCGAGCGTATACTTTATCGCGCTCGACCTAAATGAAACGTGAAATTTTCAATGATTTAATGATTAATACATTAGTTGCGCATGATGTAAGCCTTTTGGCTGAATTGGGCCCTGCCCTTCGTTACCGATCGACTCGAGCCAAAAGCGGACTCGGTCGGGCGATATGGTGACCCTGCGTGTGAACGTCGGTATATTCGAGTATTACCTTGTAAGTTGGTGGAGCCTGGCCAACGTCCAGGAGGGGGTGAATAAAACGAAAGAACGAACGAGGGTTTTAATTACAAAATGCATTTTTCAAAAGAATGGAGGAATAAGGAGAAATGTCAGGAGAACGAACGAACGAACGAATTTATGGCTCCTTGTGAGCCCGTATCCTTTTAATGTATGTGTTAATATCGCTTTCCATGGTAAATGTTTCTTGAATTATTGATACTCTATATTTAATGTAATGGATTGATTATTTGATTATGTGTTCGGAACCTCACTGAGCTTTTAGCTCATCCCTTTAGTTTTGTTTTCCTTAACAGGGGAAGGCACGCAAGGATGCGAGCGTGGTATAGACTAGCTTGGTCTAACTCTTTATTTTTGTAATGATTCTCACCCTAGTGCTTGGCACGGGCTGGTTGTATGGAAGTGAGAACCTTTGTACATTTGATGGTTGTACTTCCTTTTGAGATAGCAATGTATATATAAGTTTCACTTAAGTTTTGGATTGTTGTATGTTATTCCTTTGGTTGTATTTCGGATTTGATTAAGGAACGACT